CTTCAGGGTGGGGGTCCCCACTGGGGTGCCTGGCCAGCCTGGATGAGGGGCTGATGGCTGTTTTCAGGCTGGCCACACCCCCTTCAGGGTGGGGGTCCCCACTGGGGTCCCTGGCCAGTCTGGGTGAGGGTCTGAGGGCCGTTTTCAGGCTGGTCTGCGACTGAAGCTCCCAGCCTTTCCTTTTTTTCTTTTCTTTTCTTTTTTATTCTGGGATTTATTTACCTTCTATAATTGAAACTCTGTTGCCTTCACTGGCGCTCCCAGCTCTGAAGCTGCGGCTGGCTGAAAGCAGTTATCTGGCATTTGTTTAGCTTCTATAATTGAAACTTTGTTGCTTTTGGAGCTCAGAGCCCGGCCGCAGCAGGCGGGGAACCTTGGCTTCCTCCATCACTGGAGCAAGCAAGCCTCCTGCTCACTTCAGCTGCGTGGCTGCCGGCCGCCATCTTTGTTGGCAGTTAATTTGCATATCTCGCTGATTAGCCAATGGGAAGCATAGCGGAGGTATGGTTAATTACCTTTTTTGTCTTTTATTAGATAGGATGTAATATGTTAAACTTATTTTATGTATAATGTATGTATATATACACACTTATGTACAATGCATGTTATATTTGCATGTAACTACATATTATTACTATATTAATGTACAATAACAGCATGTGCTGAAGGGTTTGGCAGGCTGGTGGAGGTTAGAGAGCCTCCATGTGGGTGCGGATCCTGGCTCGGGGCTTCCATGTGGCCCTGGGCAAATGGGTCATTTTATTGTCATCAGTTTCCTCATCTGTACAATTGAGATAATAAGACGTGCCCCATAGGGTACTGGGAAGATTAAATGGCGTAACCCATGTAAAGCTCTTAGGAATAATAAGCACTTCTAACCGATTGTCCGGGGAGCCCTTTGGCTGTGATGGCTCCAGGAGGCAGCCACTATTTCCCCACTTTCCTGTGAGGAAAGGGGCTCACAGAGTAAGTCACCCACAGCTGCATCGTTTCCAGTGATACTGAAAGCCCCTCCCCCCGATATGTGTCTCCCAAACTGGCCCTTGCAGGACCCCCGTGTCATTTCTGAAGGCTGGCCCGGTATCAGCAGCGCGCGAGGCAGCCCGGGGCTAAGCAGCCAGACTGGGCTCTCCCTGGGGAGGCAGCAGGGGCTCCAGCGAGCCTGCTTCACCCTGGCTCTTTCAGATGACCCGTCCTTAAAGCGATCCAGGAGCCTCGCCGAGGAGCTGGGCAAAGCCGTGGAGATCGTGGGCAAGGGCAAGAACGGGGTTGGCTTTGGCAAAGTAGACATCACGGTGGAGAAGGAACTTCGCCAGGAGTTTGATGTTCAGAAGCCCCCGGAGTTGAAGCTGTTTTTTGAAGGCAACAGGTTGGCGCCCATCAGCTGCAAAGGTAATGGTGCTTACATGTCAGCCACGGTAGCGTTAGCAGTGGACACACATAAACACCAGCATTCCAGTGGCTTAACAGAATCACAAATTTAGTTATTGCTCCTGTAAAACCCAGTTAGCAGCCAGAGGGTGGAGATGGGGGGCTCTGCTCCTCACTGTCTTTCAAAGACCCAGCCTCCTTCCAGCTTGTGGCTCTGTCTTCCCTTAGGGCCTCTGAGCCACCTGCTGTCTCCTCTGTATCCTGCCAGCAGTGGGGCAGGAGGCAGAGGAACACTGCTGGTTGTGTTCATGGCCCAGGTCTGCAAGTGGCAAACATCACTCCTCTTCTCTCTCCGTTGACCAAAACTGCGAAGGGAGACTGAGAGATGACGGAACAAGACAGGCTTGGGACAGGGTGGCTCCTGACTCTTGCTTCTGTCATCATCCATTTCAGTCACTAACCCCGTCATTCACTTATTTAATGCTCTTTCAACTCGATGTGGAAATTCTTGAAGAATTCTGTGCCTCGGTGTGGCTCATGTTGGTCGTAGCTTTAAAAGGTGTTACCTGCAGGATGTGCCTGTGCAGGCCCAGTGGGCAGGTGGTGGGCAGCCCCGAGGAGCCCCGATAGTCAATATTTTAAGCCTTCGGGCCAGATGATCTCTGTCACAAGTGCTTACGTCTGCTGATGCAATGGGCAGCAGCCATGTGTAAGCAAGTGGGGGTGGCGGAGCGCGGATAAAACTTTATTTATAAAATTAGTTGGCGGCCAGATGGAGCCCAAGCTGAGGTTGGCGGGGCCTGCTCCTGCTGTGCTGTGCTCTGAGTGAGCGGCAGGTAGGGTTACTCTTATCAAACAACTGCCTTCCTGACCCCAGTGCAGGGCCTGGAAGGCTGAGGTTCCTAAGGGGCAGGTTTGGGGTTTGAGCTGGTGGAGTTGCAGGGCTGTACAGGAGGAGGGCTGGGGGGTGCTAGCCCGTATGTTTGCCGGGCTTTCCCACCCCCTTCTTCCTCAGTATCCCCCAACCAGGGAAAGCGGCAGTGGGTGCCGGGTGGAGAGTGAGCGGCTGGGATTGTAAGCTGAGAACGTGACCTGGCCTTTTGGTCTCTCATGTCTTCAGCAGGACTGAGTGGGCGCCACTTCTGCCAACTGACAGGCTGCCTGAGCTGATAAGGGCAACAGTGTGACTTGTGTGAAACTCGGGGAGGCAGGCAGGCTTAGTCTTGTTGGGGCAGAGCCCCAGACCACAGGTCCAGCTCCCCAAGACTTGGCCTTGGCTGTCTCGAAGGGAGGGGACACAGTTGCCTCTGGGCCCCAGTGAGGGCATCCCCACCTGGGCGGCGCTGTGTCCTCTCCTCAGACCCCAGGGCCAGGGCACACTGCCCAATGGGTGGGGCCTAATTGGCAGGCCCTCAGGGTGGAACTATTGCCAAGTTCAGAGCTACCTCAGTCCCATGGGGTCTAGAGGGGCAAAAGGAGTTCACGCATCCCATAGAGCAGTGATGGCGAACCTATGACATGTGTGTCAGAGGTGACACATGAACTCATTTTTTTGGTTGATTTTTCTTTGTTAAATGGCATTTAAAAATATATAAAATAAATATCAAAAATATAAATCTTTGTTTTACTATGGTTGCAAATATAAAAAAAATTTCTATATGTGACACGGCACCAGAGTTAAGTCAGCGTTTTCAAAATGCTGACAGGCCGAGCTCAAAAGGTTCTCCATCACTGCCATAGAGGGTGGCCCAAGGGCAATTTCCCTAGAGCCGGCTTATCTCGTGATTCTTCACCAAACTCACTCCCCCCGAGAGACTTCTCGGGCACCCAGTCGGAGCCAGGCATGGAAGGAGCTGCTGAGCAGGTTAGCCAAACGTCAAAATGTGGGAAGATGGGCTCAATGAAGAAAATACAGCAGGTCATAAAACAGGGACAGATGTGGAGGGTGCGTAAGGAAAGACCCCTGAGAGCTGAGTGAGCAGGTGCAGGCGCCCTAACAGCCAAGGGGGCAGCTGGAGGCGCTGGCAGTGCCAGGCCTGGGCGCTGGGGCTGGGCTGCAGGTCAGGTGGCAGGAAGGCGGGGCAGAGTCTGTCAGAGCGGCGGATCTGAGGCCCCGACAGTGAGACACAGTCAGAGGGTTTTGTTCATTTTTTTGGTTTTAAACCCATTCCTTTCAGGACCTTTGCAGCATAGTTTTTTCGGGTAAAAGCCTATAAGAGAAAGACTGCTTCAATGATAAGTACCCTTTCTCCCCCTGAAAAACGGCTTGGAGCACCGTCAAATTAGACCTCACCCTTGGGTCTGAATCCGGGAGGCGGGTGCCTGCCGTGGGTGGAGCCTCTTGGTCTGAGGGGGTCAGAAAGCCTGCCCGCCCCTCGCCCCTCTCTGCCCCTTGCGACCTCCACGCCCTTCCATGGCGTTCCCTGGGCCGGACTCCGGTGGCGTTTAGAATGGCCTCGTCTGTGTCCACTAAGCTCTGGCCAGACATTCTGCCTCCGGACGCGTATCACCAGGAATGCGGAGCCCAGACCGGAAACGACCCAGTCACACCAACAGAGTGGACCCCTAAGCTGTGGGATGAACGGTCACACGATCGAAGACTGAGCAGCTGTGTGGACGGGTCTACACGTACAGCCAACACGGATGACTCGCCCAGATATGAGGAAGCCAGACCTGGCAGCACACTCTGTGCGGCTTACGGAGCAGGCGCACTAAAGCGGCCCCAGCGTGAGGGCGGAAGCTACCTGCAGGCGGGGCGGGGAGGGGCCGGGAGGTTGGGAGGGGCCCCGGGACTTCTGAGGGACTGGGGGTGCTCTATTTCTTGATCTGGGTGGTAGTGACTCAGATGCGTTCATTTTGTGACAATTCATCAAACCATTCTTTGTAATCTGTTCACCTTTCTGCAGATAAATATACTTCATGACAAGTGTTTTTAAAGGCCCAATGTTCTTAGGAATTATAGGCAAAGACACTGAAAATAGTCCTTTCCAGTTGATCTACCAGCTCAGTGTGCATTCATCAAGTCCCATGGGCAGTATGTCCTGGTGCAGGGCCTGTGCACAGGCCGTTTGCTCTGCCTGTAAGCTTTCCCCTCTCCTGGCGGCCTCCTGTGTAATTCCTGTGCATCCTTCAGTTTTCAGCTCTTAAGTAACTTCCTCCAGGAAGCCCTCCCTGATGTCACCATCAGGTCATGCAGCTTTGCTACTGGCTCATTGAACCCTGCTTTCAAATATTTATTTGGTTGTGCTTCTACACTTGTTTGTGTCATTATCATCTTCCTTAACAGAAGGAGAGCTGCAGGGAACCGGCCATGTGTCTTTCTGCTCACCATTTCGGTACATCCCCAGGAGCAAACACAGCGCTTAATAACTTAATAGCACTCAATGCGTATTTATCAAATGATTGAAGAGTGACAGGTTAATGAGTGAATGAATGAATGAAGCCCTATAGATGTAGCCCACAGCTACTCATGACAAACATTGCTTTATCTGATAAACTCATTTACAATGTTGCTCTGTAGCAGGCGTTGTATAACTTATTTTTCATTATCTGCCATCATGTGAAATTGACGATCCCAGCAACACATGTCTATCTGTAGTGTGTGAACATTCTGGCAAGCCAGCACGTCTTCCCAGACATGGTATATGTCTTCCAATTTTAGAAGCGAGGATTCTTGTGTGCTTGCCACCAGCCACACAACAGCTGAGAATGGAAGTCAGGATCTATAACATTTGTGTCTCGGCTGAGCAATTGGAGACACACAGATATGATAGAATTTTCCCAAGGTCACGGGCCAGCTGGTCTTCTGGTTTATATTTTATTTATGTATATTTAGAGAATCTATCTTATGGTCACTTTGGAGGGTTAATAAGAAAAGAATGCTGGGCTTGCTTCCTCCTCAGTGTGATCCTCAGGTTCACTAGTGGGGTGGCCAAGTTCAATGTCAATTTCCTCGTCTGCAGAAAAGGGGAGAGTAACCATATCTGTCCCTCAGGGCAGGGTTGCTGTGGGATGTGATGTATGAGAAACCTCAGGTCCTTGGTAAGTGCTCCGTCAAGTTTACCTGCTGGTTACTGTTCATGCCTTGAGGCTTGTGGGGAGGCAGGGTGTGTGTGTGGGGGGTGGGGAGGAGCAGGAGAGCTGACCTTGGCCTTCGGGGGTGGGAGCCCAAGATAAGAAGCTTCTACACCTTCAACTTGGGAAAGACAGGCTTGCTACACAGTTCCAGGGAACCTGTGGGACTCACTTAACTGTCTCTCTCCAGGAGTGGTTGAGTCTGCTGCCCTGGTCGTTTGGTTGAGAAGACAAATTAGCGAGAAAGCGTTTTTGTTCACTGACATCCACCAGGTGACAGAGTTTGTGAAAGCCAGGCCCTTGGTGATCATTGGCTTCTTCCAGGTACTGAGTTCAAGAGATGGGGTGGCTTTTCAATGGGCCTGTGGAGTCCTGTGCCTGGGAGGGGGTTGGGGAGAGGAGAGGTTAATTCCTTGAGTTAATTACTATTCTTCATTTTCCAGTAAGCTGGTTTTCTGGGGGAACTTCAGGGTTAAGATGAAGAGAGAAAAAGAAAGCTGAACGGGGTAGGGGAAGCTGATGAGAGAGGTGGGCAGGGTGGAGAGAGGAGACAGAGGTGGTTTGATAGCATAATTGATCATTTGGGGGTCTGTTAAAATAGCATCGAATAATCACTAATTTGCAAATTGTTTCCGCATTTGGAGAATGGGTTTCCTTACATCTTCACTCATTTCCTGTAACTCGGATGACTCCTCCCCTGTTGCCAGTGAAGGCAAAACTCTGGCATTGAGTCTACCCCTGGGAGAGCTACCTCTCTCGCTCATCCCACTTTTTGACAGTGTTTTATGGCCTCAATTTTTTTAAGCTAAAAAATGAAGCTGAAGCTACAGCCATATCTTGATACCAAATTTATATTTGATACTACATGTGACCAATCAATTATATTTGATACTACATGTGGCCAATCAATGGTGTCTTCTGAAAGCAACTAAGGAATAAATGTTACCAAGTCCCAACCCCTCTAATACGTGGGGAAGGTCTATGTGATCAGCTCTCTCCACTCATCTCTCTGGATTTGCCTATTTTGGCCTTAGTCATGGCCATAAAAGTATTCTGGGTTTGAAACATCCATAAAATGGGATTGAGGTGACTCAGCAAACCTCAAAAGTTGGAAAGGTAAGGAGACAAATTGGTCACCACTTCCACCTTGACCTTAGATGAGCCAGCATCTTGCATTTCTACCAAAACCTTACCATATGTCCTTCCCCAAACAGGATTTAGAAGAAGAAGTAGCAGAGTTGTTCTATGATGTGATCAAAGACTTCCCAGAGCTGACGTTTGGAGTGATGTCGATTAATAATGCTGTCGGGCGTTTTCGTGTCACCCTTGACAGTGTTCTGGTGTTCAAAAAGGTAGGTCTTTGAGCCATTGCTACAGAGGGGTCTCTAGTTCAAAAGAGGGGACAGCACATGTATGTATGGGTTTTGGGTACCAATTCTGGTTCTGCCACTTATGAGCTAAGTGCCATTGGACAAGTTGGCTTTTGCAAAATCAGTTTTCTGATGTTTTTCTGGCCTTTGTAGCCCTCCCCCTATAAGCTCATCCTCCTTTCTTCAACAAGTAAGTGTTATTAAGTCCCAGTCTTCTGCCTTGTGCTTTCTTCTGCTCCACCCACCCTCATCCACCTCTGTCAGCAGTTACTCTCCAGACACCCAGTGGCTTACCAGCCTCCATACTCCAGCCAGATGTCTCTTTTCTCCAGACCTTTGCATCCATCACCAGATGTCTCAACATGGCCAAGTCTTAATCTCCCCTATGAGTCCTCATCCAAGGTTTTTTCTCTCTCGAATGGTACCACCATCTCTCCCATTACCCATCTGAGCAAAGCCAGACAGCCAGGCATCATTCTACACCTCCCTCTTCTCCATCCCTCATAACCAACTCGTCACTCCAACCCTATTGATTTAAATCCAAAGATCCCTCGCATCTATCCATTTTTCTCTACTGCTTCCTTTCTAGATGAAGTGACCATTATTTTCCACAGCCCAATGCAACATCCATCCAACTGATCTTCCATATTCTCTTTTGTCCTCTGACGAGCAGCCTTTCAAAAATTCAAATCTATTGATCATTCCCTCCTCCTCGCTGAAAGCCCATTAGTGGTTTCCTATTATTAATCCTATTATTATAGGATAAAGACTCAAGTCCTTAATGAGACCTATTACAGCCTCCTCCTTCCCCTCTGGGATCTAGATCTGAGCTCTCCAGCATGGCAGCTGCTGGCCATTTGTGACTATTTACATTAAAATGTTAGTTCCTCAATCCAACTAGCGTCATGTGGATAGTGGTTACTTCACTGGGCAGCTAGAGTCACAGAGCATTTCGGTCTTCACACAAAGTTCCATTGTGGTCCGGTTCCTGGAACATGCCTTACTCCCTCCCCACACAAAGCCAAATCCTTACAATAACCATGTTACTTATAGATGTGGCTCTGAGAGGTTAAGTTACTTGCCGAAGGCCACACAGGGGGTAGGTAGAGTCATACCCAGATCTGATTGACTTTTAGAGAAGAATACGAGCCCATGGAAATCACTGAAAAGCTTTAATTAAGAGAATAAAATAACTTGATTTGTTTTTCCTGAATGGGAAGACACAGTCCAGAAATAGATCCAAATACATATGGGGATTTACTATATGATATCTTAGATTAATAGAGAAATATATGTTATTCAATGACAAGTGTTGAGAGAATTGGATAGCCATTGAAAGCAAAACCCTAAAGCTAAATTCATATATCACTCCTTTCACCAAACTAAATTTCAGGTTGATCCCTGATTTAAAAATATAACAATGATGGTGCTGAAAGAAAACCCTTGATTGCATCTTTGCCCTGGGATTGTGCCAGTGGCAGCTGTCACTCAATGGCACAGAGAAAAAAATATATATATATAACAATGAGACTATGAGATACCACAGGGGAGTTTGCTTTGTGGGAAAGTTCTTTATAAAGCATTGCAGAAACTCCAGAAACAAGGAAAATAAATATTGATACATTTGGACCACATAAAAATGTAAAAGGTCTGCAGTAAAACCCCATGACAAAACCAAAGCCAAGGAGCCAACTTGGAAAATGCACTTGGGAGAGATTTGGCCTATTGAATGGTTAAGGGCATGGGCCCTGGTGTCATACTGCATGTGTTGGACCGAGCCCCCCTCTCCCAGCTTAGAGACCTTAGGCAAGTCACTTCACTGTTCTGTGCCTCGATTTCCTCATGGCGACGCAGGAGGAATCACAGTGTACAGATCAAGGAGGTATTCTGAGGGCTGAATGAGTTAGGGCATCTAACATGTTCAGAGTGGTGGCTGGTGCAACATGAGATCTCAGTAAGCCTAGTTCGCACTATTAGAATAGGTTTAGGACCAGAAAAGACTGGACTTTATCTAGAGGACAACAGGGTCTAAGAAGTGTTTAAGCAAGAGAATGACATGATCAGACTTGCATCCTAACAACTCACTGTGGCTGAAATGTGGAGGTGGACTGGAGAGCAGCAAGGGGAGACATTAGAAAACCATTAGGAATTTTTTCAGGAGTCCAGGAAACAGGTATGGACTAGAGGGTGGGATTGGTGGAGAGAAGAGAAGGAGATTAAAAAAAGAGAGACATTAGGAGATGACTGATTCTTTCTCCTTCCCCACACCCAGACTTTGATCCTGGGCTACAGAGAATTGTAGTATCCCTCCGCTGACCCAGGTCCTTCTGAGAAGAAGTCGTCAAGCAGGATAAACAGGCATAGATTAGGGACAACACAGAGACCCTTAAGACCTGATGGAGGCCTGACCCGAAGGAAGGAAGGAAGGAAGGAAGGAAGGAAGGAAGGAAGGAAGGAAGAA